CAGCAGCAGCAGCACCACCACCAGCAGCATTACTCCACTAAAGCTCCCAGAGTACCGCCTGCTGCGAGCGCTCACACACATGTGGAAAATACATGTGATCCCCCTGCCCTCCCATGTGGCTGCACTTACGACTACGCACACAAAGGAACCCGCTGGAACACGAGCTGCGAATGTAGATGGCCGTGTTTAAAGCGTTATGTATATATATATATATACATACACGGAGCAGAAATAAAACCAAGTGGATTATTAACAAGAATGTTTTAAACCTACATTAAAGAGTCTTTATTTGACCTTTTTCATACAATAGGAGGAGACGCACTACGCTTGCTGCGACAGTAAACAGCCGGTCACGTGGTCCTGGTCCTGTATGCCGTCAGGGTAAATGATGGGGGAGGTCTTTCTCAGCTGCGCATCCACTCCCAGCCTTCGTCTCCTCCTCCTCCTCCTCCTCCTCCTCCGACTCTCTAATGAGTAGCAGGACAAAGCGAGGCGAAAAGGCCCGATTACTGAGACTACAGGAGAGGGGTAGAAAAGGCAACAATGCCCAGCAAAGAGCCAGCCATCTTCAACAAGATCACACACGCACACTAACAGCATTCATTGTTGTAGCTCTGACCAATTCATGTGCCTGAAATATACAATTACCTCACACTATCTGTGTCAAATATGTTACGTGCCCTAGAAATGTCCACTGCAATTATTTTCCTGTTGAGAAAACAAAAAGAAAATCCTGTTCTTTAACATGTTAGTAATCCAAATTAAGAGTTAAAATGGTGTAAAATTGATTAATTCATCTTTAAAAATTGGAATTGTTCATTCAATTTATTAATTTACATTTTTAAAAGATGAATTATTCATTCAATTTATCAAGTAAAAAATACCAAATATCTGCTGGCAGAGTTTATTCTTAATGTCTTTCATGAATTGAAAACTGTGGCTTTTAGATGAAGTAAGCCATTTTAAAACATTAAAGTAAAGATGTGATAACTTGTGGTGTTTCTATTCGTGTATTTAATACTTAATTGAGCAAAAGATAAACTGAATAAAGAAATACCGGAGTAATTACTGATGAAGATAACAGTATGTTCAGCCAGCAGTAACCCTGCAGTAATGTATAAACCAGGAAGGTTACTGTTGTGGCCAGAGCACCAGAATAAAAGTGCATTAAAGAGAAATTACTTTCAAATATACAATAAAACCCACACAAGCATCTATTTGTATCATTCAAGCATTCCTTCAAACATAACTGTCCACCAATAACAGTCCTCAGAAATCAAAAGCATAACATTTCACGCAGCTCTCCTCCCGTCACTGGTCGCCTGAACTCAAGGCATATTTCGACACGGACAAACAAACAGCAAGTGACACTGGATGCCTCGAGGCGTCTGTTCACCTCTCTCTACCCTAACCCCAGACAGACAGAACACGCCTCCTCCAACCAGGGCGTCTGGCCTTCGTTCCAGTAGTTGTTCGGTTGCATAAATGAGCCGGTCGTGTTCCCCGGGAAGAGGGGGCGCGGGCTACCACTGCCAGCAGAGGTGAGTGAAAGCACGAATAAGCAGTGGACCAAATGGTTAATCATGTTAGTTTGGCGAAAAGATAATTCCAGGACACCAAATTTTCTGGCTTCATTCATAATCCAAGCATTAAGCTGTTGTAAGACCCAGACATAATGTACTTTATGTGTCCTAAATGTGTATTCTTATGTAATATTGAGTGCTGAACTGTTTCACAGCCTTACCCATCACTTAAAAGCTTCCATAAAAAAACAGGAATAGCCCTAAAATTTACAAGGGAGAGGCTCGGGGCTCGCACACAAATCAAAAGCCTCATAAAATAGCCTAATGTTTGTATTTGAGAGGCGTGAATAGGGTTAACTTTACTGGCAGGAGAATAAGGCTCAGCCCACTGACACGCCCATTAAGTTGGGCCGAGAGAGCCTTAAGAAGCCACCGCTCCGAATGTGGGTTAATGATCAGATATCCAAGAAACGCACAAGAACAATGGAGCCTTTACTGCCGATTACGGGTTAAAAAAGGAGGGGAGAGGGAACGGGGCAGGGATTGGAGCAAAGGTTAGGACCTAGGCGTGGGTCTGTTCTTATTTCCAGCACAGCTCACATGACTGAACCAAACACTGGGAAACCTAAATATCAACAGTACAAACTGAGATTGAAAAAAAAAAAAAACACATTTTAAACTCCGTAAATCAACACTGAAGGTAAACAAAAAGCTTTATTCTTTAAGCGACGGGTCACTTTTCAACTCCCGAGCGGCAAACGCGGCGTACTGAACTCAAAAACAGTTCATTTCCTATCTTTTTGCACCTAGTGAATTAATGAAACTGCTTTGTTATCTTCGTCCCTGAAGCCACTTAAATGAATATGAAGCAAAACACGCCGCTAACAAGGCGTCACAACCACAAGGAATCATCGAGGAAGTTCCATATGAGCAACTACCAGGCTCTCGGTGCGACGAATAAACCACGAGGGAAACGCTGTGTCAGTTTTCATTATGACATTCAAGACATGACTCCATCTACACCTGCCACATCCTATTAGGCTGGATGAGATGTCGATCCGATCACAGGCCCAACACATGGCTCGCCCGGGCTGCGCCAAAACCACAGCTCTGCAGTGCCGGAGCAAGCCTCTGCGAGTGAGTGAAGGTTGACACAGCATCTCCGGCTTCACACTGCGAGGAACACACAGACTACTGAGCAAACAACAGCTTTAAACAGTCGTGCAGCATGAAGATTAGTATCGGTTTCATTTCAGCGTAGTCACTATTGGGCTTTTAAGATGGTGGAGATAAAACGAGTCACACGCTTTTACAAAAACACACTGGGCAGGTTAACTACTACGACTTTATTGTGCCCGATAAAGTCCACATGGGTTGAACTTTTCCCTGTGTTGTTGTTGTTGCACAATAGTACACTAAGCAGAAACATGAGTGTGTGCTCACTAGTACTGTAGGGAAGCTATAAAATACACAACAACAGCTAATCAGCTTATCTTTTATCAAGAAATCATTTGGGTTTAAGATAATTTATTGAAATTAAAATGTTTTAGTTATTAATTCATGTGCAAAATTGTTTTCTTGATTAACTGATCAATTTGAAAAATGCCTATCACAATTTGTTTTATCACAATGTGTCTGAATAATCGTCTTTCAATTAGCTAATCAATAATATTGACTGCACTCGACTCTGCAGTTTTGATGCACAGGGAAAGAGAAAAAGAAAATCCCACCTTTGACCAGAGGCAACTCATTCGTCAGTGTATTTCTATAGTCAGCACTGTATCACAACCAGCATGTTCATATCAATATCTCTGTACTGATTTGGATTTTCAAGTATTCCTTTTAAGACCGGAGGCTGTGTGGGACTCAAGGAGCTTCTGTATAAAAGCGGCACATTTAACAGGCGACTGCTGTATCCGTACCTGCTTTTAAAACACGAGGCCTTGATTCATCACAACAGCTATTGATCGGCTATACAATGTGGACAGCTGGTCTGACTACCGCACATTTTAACACTCAAGTGCTGTTTGGAGACACAAAAGAAACAACCCTCTACTTTCTTCTACTATTATGTGCACACACACACACACACACACACACACACAACATTTCTGAAATTGTGTGTGTTGCTGAGGTGGCAGATACTGGTATACCAACCCCAGGCAGCTACAGCCAATATGGACCATTTTACCATGAAGTAGCTTCTTTTTTCTATGCCTTTTTGTCCGGAGGGCCACAAAAAGAGGTACGGGGAAACATAAGAGCAGTTGGGATACATTTACTCCAGCGTTAGGCAGCAACTACATTGGCTGATGCAAATACTCAATGATGCTAGCGGCGCAATGGACCATAGTTCATCCGTGGTGTGTAGTGCTGCCACGAATGGTTCGGTACGCCTGTGAAACTGGACCAAATTTAAAAACACACTTTTACTGCTGCGCTTACTTTTTTAGAGTAATAATTCTTTAAATCTTAATGCGGCGCTTCAATGAAAAGAGATCAAGACGGACACGTGCTGCGTTTTTAAAATGAGACCCACCGTGACTCGGGGCATTTTCAGTGGTGTAACTGGGGAAACTGGGCACGGCCGTCGGCGTATAAATAGATCATAAGATTGTGATGTTTTTTTGCAACTTCGGACGTATCTGCAGCCTTTTCCCTCGACACACAGCTCGGCTCACCGGAGCAGCTCCTGCCTCCGCTCGTCTATGACACAGCAGCTTCTGGGGTTGATGGGCTTTTATTCCTGACGTGTGAACAATCAGAGACATAGAGTGAGACAATAAAGTGGAGTATTTTTATACTATTTAATAAAAAAATGTTTGTTTTTGCTGAATCCATGAATCCCTAAATGATGCTTAATGATCTGACCATCTTGTTGATGATCATCTCATATAAATATCAACTGAGGTGTTGTCATCTTTTCCAGTTCATCTACGGTTATATTTTTTTAAAGGTAGCGGAGATCCGTCAACAATATCATGGATACCGAGTCATTTAAACTCATTTCTCTCTGAACCTTTTTAGAGACCGTTCAAATGCGGTTTCCGTGTTGAGTTCTGCTTTCATTATATTCAACACTAGTCATCGCGTTGCGCAATCTGAACCAAACACGCAACTGGAGCAATCTAACTGAATATACATGTATACCATAGCTGTATTGTTGAATGAGCATGAACAGTAAACCAAACCAGTGTCAACGATTAAGTGTTAAACTCTCTTATTCTCACCAGATTCGAGGTCAGAGAAGTACTGAGATGGAACCAATCCAATAAAAATTGTCCCGTGAATGAAACACTCATTGACCTATTTTCCAGCAGGAGGGTCCGTGTCCCTTCAGTAAGCATGGTCACTGTTAGTCAGCGTAAACAGGATGTGACTGCTTTCTTAGGCATCAGTTAAGTGGAAGCAGCCAAGCAATGAAGAATGCAAACCACACACCCCCTTTGGTCAGATTGTCTTTTCCCCCCTGAACGCAGACTCTCATTTCTCTCACTACTCATTCATCAAAGGGAACTTTAAGGGCTCGTTAATAATTAAAAACCTAGAACATCGTAACATCACAACCCCAGCTTTTACTTCCTCCTCCCTTTCTGCGTCGTCATGCTGTGTTCTCCTGCAGGAAGGTCACGGGGCTCTCGAGCGGCCGGTCTTTCCGACGCACGTGGTGGATCTATCGAGGCAACAGCAGCCGCTACACACCGAGACACTGCGCCCGATGTACCAAATAACAACAACAACAACAACGCTCTCCACGCATTCAGCTGCTGGCAAAGGCTAGCACATGTTGTGTAATCAGGAGGCTCCACCCTTTTCACACAAAGACACACACAGGCGCACAAAACGCACACTTGCGGGGCCTCTCGAAGACGCAGACGCTCGGCCGGTGGAGCCGACAGCACGCAGCTACTTCACATCATAAACGGCACCGGTGCTTTCACAGTCCTGTTTGAACTGAAACCCAATAAATGTGATCTACAGCTTGAAGTGAAAGTGATACGAAGCTGAATTTTAAACCTAATAGAGGAAACATTTCTGCCTTTGGGGGTTTTTTTTCCCACTTGTTACAACCTTTCCAAAAAGTTGCTCCACCTACCTGTGACCAAGCTGGAGGGATTTCATACGCACCTGAAGAATGAGCAACTCTCAATAATCAGTGACAGTAGTTTATTAACACTGAAGAGACACTGGTCTTCACTTTTTGAGACGGAAGAGTAAAACTAAAACTCAGAGCGTTTTGGGGGGTTTCCCTGAAGAAACTGCCCTCTTGTGATCACTCAAAACAACAAAAAGAGGAACCAGACTAAACTCGAGTACACTAAATAATTCTGTCAAAAGGTCAAGACTTTCATAACGTGCGTGTTGCTGAAGAAATGCTGCAAGACGGCAGAAGGGATCTAGATCCAGGAGGCAGACATGAAGAAAGGCCTTCAGCACGACAGTGGGCCGCTGTTTAACGTGCGTCTT